CTGGTATGAGTGATACACTCGCACTATTACCATGGATAGAAGTGGCTGAATTGTCCAAATGCTTAAGCCGGTGACTCATGCTGCGCATCATCAGACCACCGAACCTCCCTCCTCTCATTCACACTTACATTTTTGACTCAGACGAGGAAGCCATACACTGTATGCATCAGAGTGTCGCCTCAGTATTTTTGTGCGTAAACAGGACATTAAAAGCCATGGTATTGTGTTGGTGCTGTACCAGAGTGTGTGTCACTGCGTGAGCCTCTCCCTTGTGTACATGTGTGTCATGGTCTGGTATTCATCAGTGTGTCCTGTGGACCCTATGCGTTAGCGTGTTAGTGGACACAAGCAAACATAGCAGAAGTGGCGAGGCGGTGAGGCAGGATATCCCCTCTCTGTCTTACAGGCTTCCTCTGCTCCTCTGGCACACATACAGCGATCCTTCCTCTTCCTTCTCCTCCTCCTCCTCCTCCTCCTCCTCCTCCTTCTCCTCTCACTTTCTTCTTTGCCTTGTTTTCTGCTATAAAGTTTTCTTACATTCTTCTTTTTCCTCATGAGCAGCATCCAGTAGGCTTCCTTCATGGTGTCTGCTCTGTTCTGACTCGCTCCCCTTTTCTTCATTTTCTATTCTCAGTTACACTCACTTTCCTCTCACTTCTCCGCCCCGTTCGTGCTTGTCTCATCTTTAGAACAACTATTTTTTCCCTTATACTTCGACATAAAAAGGCAAAACAAGAGGAACCAAGAGGGAGTAGGCGACAACAGGGAGTGGGTGAAAGCGAGAATGCAGGCCATCTGCTTAGCCGAGTGGGAATCGTTCCTCTTATAGTTTAAGTCGCTCTGATACAATTAGTTGCATCCAAAGCGGCAGTCTGCTTTCGCAGTACTTTTCCTTTCAAAGCTGGAGACCTTGTGTAACCTTGTAAACATGCATATAATGCGCCGCACAGTGTCTGTGTTTGTGTGTCCTACTGGCTACTTCACATGACTGCACTGCAGAAATATAGTGGCGAATCTGTTCCTACCTGTTTAGAGATGCTAGGGCAAATTTGCTCATGCAAAGTACAGAAACACCCTGCTTCTCTCTGCCTGTCTGTCTCTCTGTCCGTCTGTCTCCTTCTATTAAAATCTGTGTTTTCAATATAGCCATTCATACCTGTATCTCTGTCTACCTGTCTCTCCTACCTTTACCTTTACTAACCTTTGCTTAAAAGTGTCTTTATGTGTGTGTGGAACTGTTTGCCCGTCATCACAGCAAATTTCCCACCTACCACTGCGGTCAGCCCACAAACGTGTACACACACACACACACACACACACACACTTCTGTTACGCACTGAATGTGTGAGTCTGCTTTGAGATGAATGTGTAGGCTAATACTGAGCACTGGCACTCATCACACTCTGCCAGCTTCTCTGATGTCAGGCCAGATTGCTCAGGTCAGTCAGACACCCTGCACAGACAGCGTACTCTGTGTGTATGTGTGTGTGTGTGGAGAGGGAGAGAGACTTAGCAGAAAGAGGGTGAGAGAATATATGTTTACATCGGCCATATATTAAAGTGATTAGACTGTGGAGCCAGAGAGACGAGTACTGGAACAAACAAGTAGCTGTGTGCTGCCAACACACACTTTTACCTGTGTGTATACGTGCTTTCAAGAGCACTGACGCGTGTCTTTGCCCCACATGCATCTGTGCGCCACACAGACCCGCCTTGTACGCGGCCACTCTCGTTTGACTCACCTTAATCCCTCATCAGGGAGGTATAAGAGCTGACGTGCAGCACCTATTAGCCTTAAATTACATCCCTTACCCCCCTACTGGCCTGCTACCGGCCCCCAGAGCCCCCATAACTGTCACCATGCAGCCCTGGCCTCGGTGTGGCATAACCACCTCAACATTGGCCCTTTATTAAAGCTAGCTGCTTCTAATTAATGGTTTTGGCCTTTACACAATAAAACAGCCAATGTATGTCTGTGTTTTTGTCTGCTGCTGAGCTCCTGTATTACACACACTCATTCAAGGCCAGATGGATGTTAGGTTGTCACTGCGCACGTACCTTAATGCGTATTGTCGTCATTTTTGGGCTCAATTGGCGCCAGTTTGGTTGCTATTGGAAAATGAGCTGTTTTAAAGCACCTATCTAATACTGAGTGTGGAATGTGGGCAAACAGGACAGCGCTTGTTTTCGCTCTGGTTTAGTGTCAACCGATTTATGCAAATGTAACAGAAAATGGGCATTAGCCCAACAGCCAGCTTGTTTGAATACTACTGCTAACAGTTTGAGACCTGATAACATCACAGCTGCAGGCACTGCTGCTTGGGAGAAAGTGCACTAATGGTATACAGCCAGAGCACAGAGCTAAAAGACCTGTATGCAGACAGGATGCATTAATACACAAAAACAAATTCTACAGTTGTATTGATTGTTAATAACTAATGATGGGCTAAAAGTTCGTTTCATGCACTGTCATCATGATTACCTGTAATGGGAATAAAGGCAGATGAGAAATGACGACAACAAACTATTTCTCTGTCTCTGTTAAAGGAATATTCCACCCACCAAATGATCATTTGTTTATCAGTTACTCACCCTGTGTTACATTGAATTTGTAAAGAAAACTTTGCTTTCCTTGCATGACCCCAAAAAAGGAGAAGACTTAATGAACTGAAGTCATAGGAGTCCGCAAACATCTGTGCTTCCCAAACAGAGACAGCTCTTTTCTAATGGGAAACATATCCATGCTCTGTTCACTTCATGACATAAACTGTAATTTTACTTCGCTCAACACGGGAGTTGCTGGTCTGCCGCTGCCTTGATCAGTGGATTTGTGTGACTTTGCTGAATCCGAACTTACCCTATCAAACTCAAAAGTCACATGATAACACAAACAAACTTCCTGATCGAGGCAGCGGTAGACCAGCAGCCCCCATGTTCTGTGAGGTAAAATTACTGGTTTTGTCAATGGAGTCTGGCTTTGAAAAGTGCATAGGTAAGTTTTACAGTTTAGTTTCCCATCAGACAGCTGTGTCTGTTTTGGAAGTACTGGACTGGATTACTTGGATTACACTGCGAGAGTGTGGGAGTTTGTAAATGGATTATTTGCTATAGTTTTGCTGTTGTTACACACGGACCCCTATGACTTCAATTCACCAACAGTCTTGTCCGTCTTTGGATTCTTTTTTCATCAGAAGCACATGAGAAAAACAAAGTTTTCTTCACAAATTCACCCTAACACAGGGTGAGTAATTGTTACACAAATTGTCATTTGGGCGACAAAGCGTTCCTTTAACATCCCTCTCTTATGGGATCTCCACCCAGCTCTGTGTGCTTCGAGGAATTACAGGAATAGACTCTGTAAGCATTTGAAGCGAAGGATCTGAGATGACGACCGAGTGAAAAAATGAAATAATAAAGAGGAGCTCCTCCTGTCTCCTGTGCCGATTGAGATGGGATGTCCAGAGCAACGAGATGACGTAGTTGACCGTGCCAGAGCTAACCGAGTCCCTGGATGAGAGCTTTGGCTTCTCCGAGCCTGTCTCATCAATGTGACACACTCGTAGAGACAGACCCACGCACACACACACTCACACTCATGCAGCGGAGGACGGACAAAAATATAGTGACATCAAAACTCATTCACACACCCACACATGTGCACGTGTGCTTGTTTTAAAACACTGAAGGGATGGATGAGATTGTGATGAATCTATACCCTGCAAAAGTTAATGGCCTGTGCTTCTGTTAACTGGAAGGGGGGGTTGGGCCACATACTGTAGGTCTGGAGGACGGGAGGAAAGGAAAGGAGGAAATGACAAAAGAGCAATGGAGATGCGTAGAGAGGTAATGTGGTGCAGGTGGGGAGGGGGTGTGATGGTGATTTGAGGTCTGTTGGCGACTAATTGAAGCATAATTAGTGAGTGACCTATCTGGCTGCGCATTAGGAGCTGGTAAATGTGTGTCCTGTTCTCCTCTTCTGAGCTGATCCTGCAGTCACGGCTGTTTTACAGATAATTTGAATCAGCTTAATCATGGGTGGGCCCCTTGCGATTAGGGCACATAAGAAAATCTGAATGTGAATGGATGAATAGAGCAGCTAATGTGATTATGAATGATTTGATGTGCATGTGTGTGTGTGTGTGTGTGTGTGTGTGTGTGTTGGGGGTCTTTATTCTGGCTGCAATATTTGGCATCGAGATCATTTGAGTCACAGACAGCTGAGCTCAATATAAATGTTTCTCTGTTGTTCTTTCTTTCTGTCTTTCTTTCTTTCCTTTCTTCCTTCTCTGGTGTTCAGCATAACACAGCATCTGCGGTGCGTGTTTGCGAGAAAGAGAGATAGAGGATTGGTGGGTGAATCAGCCAGTGGAAGGAGAGAGAAAGAGAGACAACAAGAACGAAGGAGGGAAGGATAGAGGAGTAAGAAAGAGAGGGAGGGTGAATGAGCCAGCGGGGGTAGAGTGAGCAAACCACCGAGTGAGGGAGAGGTTGAGGGGAGGAGAGAAAGAGGAGGGGAGGGGGTGTTGCTGTTGCCGCTGCGACTGTTTCTTCTGTCAGTCGGCTGCTGCTCGCCTGGCAAGCAGGAGGGAGTACAGAGCAAGGGAGAAGCAGAGAGGCAGACAGAGAAAGAGGCTGGTCGCTGCTGTGTTTTATTCTAGCTGCGCTATTGTGGCACAGAGAGCCGCAGACACGCTGTGAGGAAGTGGATTTAGGCACTGGACACAGATCTGCAGATCTATGGATTACCAGCAGTGAGTAAGGGTGACTGCTGCTGCCACTCTACTAACCCACTCGTCATTTTCAACAGAGGGGTGAACCCACAGTCTCACACGGCGGGGAGTCTGGACCCACTGGCGACAGGGAGGCAGAGAGGGAGGGTGAACCAGACAGTCTCTGCGTTTTCACACCTTTCCTTCTCCCCTTTTCTCCCTCCATTTCTTTCAGTCTGCTTGTGTGTATCTCAGAGTGTGTCACTGATGCTGTTGCTTGGCTCTCCGCAGGAGGGATGCTGGAGGCTAATGTGGCTAACATTAGCATGACGGCCAAGCCCAGAGAACTGGACCTGAGGTCTGCTGCTGTCTCCTGCCAGGAAACTTCAGCCCAGGCCATGGCCTCTAGGAAGCCCCCGGCCAAGCCCTCTGCTCTGCCCCAGGGACCGTCACGTCCCTCCGGGTCAGAGCTCAAGGTCTACCGGCCCTCCTCTGGATCTATCCCTATCCCAATCCCCAATCCGTCCAGGCTACGCAAGCAGCGATCACTAAACAACTTGTGTGTGCTCACTGATGCTGAGAAGAAGCTGCACCTGTACCAGTCTCCCCGCTGGAGTGACGATACAAGCCGGCCTGGCACTGGCACCAACAAGCCAGGCCAGACTAAGGCAGGACAGGCTGGGGGTGGGAGACCACCACTTTCACGGACCCTATCAAAGTCCGAACAGTCTCTTTTCCAGGGAAAGCCCAAACCTTTCTGCTCCCCGTCCGCGACTTCAAATGGGGGCAAGCCAAGTCGAATCCCAGCCCCTGGTAAACCACGGGGACCTTATGCCGAGGTCAAGCCCATCAGCAAGGCCTCTGAGGCAGGCCAGAGTGTAGATACAGACCCTGCAGACCCCCCAACTAAGGCTAACTCCAATGGAGCTGGGAATACTGGGACTAATGGCAAGAAACTAGGGGAGAAGGTGAGATCTGCAGCCCTGTCAACAGAGGAGAAGAAAGAGAGGAAGGGGCTAGAAGGAGAAGACGATAAGAGCTTTCTGAAGGTGGATCCAGAGTTGGTGGTGACGGTTCTGGGAGACCTGGAGCAGCTGCTCTTCAGCCAAATGCTCGGTAATTTCTGCTTTTTTATCTCTATTTTACATAAAAACACACAGATTCAAGCATGACACCACTTAGGACGGGGTACATTTATGTCGACATGTTAACAACACTTACTTATTGATTTAGTGGACATCGAATAAGATAAACATCCTCCCCTCTCTACACCCAAACCGTTCCCTCCAGGTCTGGCTGTAGCCCCGGCATCAACAGTGAATTTTAAATGAGTTCAGTCTCTATTGCAGCAGAGCATACTGTCAGCGTGTTTTTCACTATACGAAGACGAGGTCCCTCGCTCTGTAGGTGGCGAAAATCCCTGTGTTTACATCACTGTAGCAGTCAAAAGCGCCTCGTGTATATGTGTGAAATTGATTTACGTTGTATTTATGTGTGGATGTGTGTCTACTAGCTCTGTGTGCTCCCACGAAGCAGCTGAAGTAAGCAGTTCCAGAGGGCTGACATTGTTTTGTTGTTGATTCATTAGCCAGCACTGGAGTGTTTTGTCCTAGTCTCATTTGACCCACTGCCACAGTGAGCTAGATATATATTAACCTATCAGTTGCCTCCCTCCTTCTCCTCTCAGTATATCGCTGCCTTGCAGGTTTTCTATCTCTAACTCTACCATCCTGTTTTTGAAACTGAAATCACACATGTATGCACGTATCTGTGTGGTAGTTAGAGCCTAAATTGGGCGCTTCATATCAACACCACAGCCTCAGCATCTCCTGGCTCGGGCCGAAAAATCAGCCATTCGTTATTAAAGGCCGTGTGAGTGTGGCTCGTGGGGTGTGTGTTTTCACTCGGTAAATAAAACGGCTGCATATTGAGTCAGGCTCCGGTCACAGTGGGCCACATATTTAGCCTTGCACCACTCCCTCACCCCCCCTCCCTCCCACCTCCCCTCCAGTTCCATTGATCTCCGGGCCACTGACAGATGGTCACTATCCACCCCCCCCCATACCCCCACCTCTTCCTCCTGTTACCGGGGGCAACGTGTGGGAGGAGGGAGGGGAATCTAAAGGGGGTGGCATGGCCAGGTAGTTAGCGTGCTGCCATTCAAACACGTACCTCACATGAAAACACACTCTCGTACACATCAGGGGGGCGGATGTACCAGGACGCATAAGTTTCAGCTAATGGGGGTGTATTGCGAGAATGACAACTTATTTTGTGACTAATAGGTCAAACCGGGGTCTAAATCTGCACCTAGCATCCATTATTCATTTATACACACACACACTCTCTCTGTGTGTTTTTGTCCCGTCTCTATCTATTGCTCATTCTCTCTCCATCCCTCCCTCTCAGCGGGAGCAGATAGCATCAGAGAGCGAGGAAGATAGGGAGAGAATGGTGTAGTGGGTCATTACATCAGGCTTGATGCGAGGAAATAATTTTCCGTCCATCATCAAACCTCTCGCTGTCTTCCTCCCGACTCCTCATTTCCCCTTTCTCTTTTCACCTCCCGCAGCACAACCCCGAATCACAGCTTGTGTGACCTTGCCCCAGCAGCCCTATGTGTGTGTTTACTCTGCACGGCGTGAGTGTGTGGGAAGTGTGTATCTGTGTGTGACCTTGTTCCAGTCCTTGTTGAAATGTTGCTGGCCACACCTATGCCAGGCAGCCAGGTAGGGAGGAGGGAGAGGAGGATGGAAAAAACAAACAGGCATGAAGAAAGTAGAGGGTAAGACTTGAGATTTATATATAAGGGGACGACTTCATTCACAGAGGGAGATAAATGAGGAGGAGACAGAGAAAGAGTAAAATAATGGTAATAGCCAGTGACCTAAATTTCTACCTGGCATCCCTAGTGACCGAGTGTTGCTTTAGGTCATTACAGTCTACCACAACCTGCCCCAAGTTTATCATCGACACCACAGCAGGTGTGTAGGACGGCTGTGTGTGTACACTCATTCGTGTGTGTGTAAGGGGGAGGTTAATTGTAACTTGCCCTGTAGCTTGCGGCTGTGGGCTCATCTTTTATCGTATCTGCTTCTCCATTTCCGATGGGACGCGCAGCTAATTGGTTTCTGCTCCGTGTGCTCTGTCATAGGAAGATAGATTATGGATGTTCAATGGATCATTCCCAGTGATCCACTCCTCCCCTTCCCATACACAGTCCCACTTTCTCCCCATCTGCTTCCCGCATACATGACAGCGACATGTCATTGTACAGTGTGGTATACCATGGAAAATCAACCTTAACCCGGTCATAGCCTGTTGTTGTGGAAGCTACATGTTAGCTTCGTTAGCTACAAGGAGTGAAAAATGGGCCTGTGTGTCGAGCATGTTACGTTGTGTGACAGCAAGCAGCATGCACTGTGACACTGTCCTTTTGAGATTAGCCTACAGTAGTAGGCAAAGTTAATGGAGAATGTCACTGAGGTCTAATCGGGATGTACAACCAAAGACCATCAGCCGTGCGCGTACAAGAGTGCTTCGCTGATTTTCAAACAGCTTTGTATCATAATAATGTGGGTTGTCTCTGTAAATGAACTGTGGTAAACTATCCTCTATTTAACCGGTGCCTAGATCTCCCTGCTCCCTTTCCGGTGAAACTCTGCCAGATGATGTAAAAGGTGTCATTCATTGGAGTTTCTCTGGCTGTACGCCCACATTTTTGTATTGCATGCCACCCGTGCTGCCACCACGGACACAAAGAGTACATCAAAGTGGATCGAAAGGCAGACCTGCTGCTCTCTCTCAAACTCACACGAAACGCCGACCAAATGTTAAAACTAGGCAATGCTGATCAAATATAGACCAAGAATTGTTACTGCATTGCCTATTTCTCACCTACAATGATCTATAGAAACATATTTTAATGCCCTGTTTAGCTGTAATAACAAGAATTTGTGAACAGGAAGTGGGCGCCACACTGTTTCCTGCACATTGAAAACAGAGGCTGGAAAAACTGAGCTCAAACACTAAAAACTACACTCTGTTGTTTTAATATAAACCAAGATTTTGTCACTACGTTGCCTATTTCTTGCCTCAAATGTTTTTATAAACACTTTTAAACTTACTGTAACACAACTATAATATGAGATCAGTGTTACCAGCCAGCCAGTTGGCATTGTGTCTCCTAGTTGTAGGTTTTCTACCTCTTTGACAAAAGCAAATACCACAGCCTCTATTCTCTGGTCATATAGCATCAATTTCAAAAGTGTATTTGTTTCAAAAGTATCTTTCTACTGCATAGGCAGCCTATGAAAAGACTGTCTTAACAGAGCTGAAACACTTATTTAAATCCGGCTCTGGCCAGTGTTACTTCCTGTATTTCGGTTAACATTCTTCCTCAATCAGAGAAAAGGGGTGTGGTTGATAGACAGACATAATCCATTGCCATGGTTAAAGCCAACAACATGTTAATGAAATACCCTAATTTTAAATCAGTATTTCCGGTCAATTTAAAATTATCCAAAGTAAACTAGCCATAACACAGCCTCCACTTTGGGGTCCTAATCACACTGTCGGCATTCATTTTGCCAGTACCGGCTAGCAGATGCTCATGCTGCATCTTTAACTGTTGGAAAACATGCCATAGGTTGGATGCGACTCTTGTGCGTAATCTGTGCCAACTTTGGAGTACGTGGTGGCAGGTTGCATCTGAGGTTCCTAAGCAACCACAACCAGCATCGTATCATAGCCTACTTTCCAGAAATCCCAAGTACAGAGTTGATCTTCTTCCAGCCGTCGTTTTTTAAGCGTGTGCTAAGCCTATTTAGGCCTGTTGTACATGGGACAGATGTAAAGCTCTGGGTAGTCCTGAACTTCTCCATATTTATCATGAAATTTTATTTACAGAAGACAGGAAAGATATGTGATGGCTGTGATTGATTGTTCCTCGTCACGTGGTATGCAGTGTGTTCCATGATTTGAACTTTATTTATCTCTGAAAAACAGGCGCTCGGAAAGGCTTGTGTGTCTCAACAGCGATGCCCCCTCTTTTTCGCATGTATCCCAGGCATCTACATTGAAAATAATGGACTTGAGGGCACAGAAAACGCAACAAAAATGTGTCCCCGCCCTTATACCCTACATAGCTTACTGTATTCTATAGATGTTAACTTACCTATATTACACAAACCTGGTGAAAAAGTTTCACAGCACTGTGCTGGGTCCAAAAACTGAAGGAACAATCCCACACAATTCCAAAAAGAAAGCTCACTATCTTGTTTTGCCTGCGACTCACACAACCGTACACCATATCTGTATGTATATCCAGTAAAAAGATTCAATCCACAGCACATCTGCTCAGCGAATGGCCTGCATTCATTTTATCTTCAGTGTGGCTAAAGTACAAAATGAGATGACAAGCTAGCTCACAACAATGTGTATTGGTTTTACTCAGGCGCAAAGGGGCATGACAACTCACCTGCAGGAGCTTGGAGGATTATGTATAACCTGCAGCTTCTACTAAAGTCATACAGTACTTCATCTTTCCCTTTTAGCAACAACCATCCTTTTTTTTAACCTAAAGTACAAAATTATTTGTCAAAAAATATTTGCCGAACTTTGTAGCTAATCAACACTGTCAGGAAATTACTCTGAAAAATATGAAATATCATAAAAGTGCCAAAATAAACTGCAGTGAGGCTTTAAAAAGGATAACATTCCTCCCCCGACACACACACACACACACACACACACACACAATGAAGAAAAGAACAAGAAATAACAATCCAGGGTATCTCAAGGTTAGGCCTATATGTTTATCTTGCGAGGTGAGTTAGGATTAGTTTCAGTATAATCCGTTTTTCTTTAATCGGACATACATGTTGTACCACAGAGAGATGAAGAGCTTTTCTTTAATTGGATTCAGAGAATTACTTGACTTGTGTGTCCACAGCAGCTCTGGACTTCTCCCAAACGCAGCATGCTTTATAAGATATCTTGTTAACGGTATTAGCATCAAGGTTAGACATAGATGCCGGAATGATAAACTCTGTAAAATTCTGCCAATAAAACGAGCCGACCCGAACGGCACCTTGTAAAGCGTATACTGCCAGAGT